TGGAAATTACTCCAAAGAGAGTGCGGGCCGGTACGGCGCGTGATGCGCCTCGAGTTTACTCTCTCACTCAACTCTCAACGACAAGATCGTGTTGAACCTGCAGATAGGTACAGATCGTCGATGGGAAGGAACCTCGATGAAATGGTAAGTGACAGTCACAATTATCATACCTCACTGTTTGCAGAGACACTCGTCAACCTGATGTAAGCTGTACATCGCTTAACTCGAAGATGAGATGAGGTGGGAGAAACAAACAGTTTCATGCTTGTGAGTTTAGTCCTGAAAGTCATTTAGAATCCTTACTTGAGAGTGATGCCATTCGGCTGTACCACCACCCACCATCTGGATTCTGGCCTGCGATATCTCATGCACTCACTCGCATACGTATCTCAGATATGTCAAGTAAACTTCACCACCCGTGTACTGCTCAGACTCACAAGTGTTGGTGAAACCTTGCAACGTTTAGCGTTGCGGTATCACTGCGTGCGACGCCCAGTGCAGGAAATTCTGTCTCGCCGGTGCCAATGTCGGTGCGCCCTATATCTCGTCGCCCAATGGAGAGTGTGATTACATATTATTCCTGGGATACTTGGGTCGAGCCCGCAGCAACCAACAGAATGACGTCGAAACGATCTTCAGTTTAAATACCTGATGTTGACTTGATGCCCCACCTCGTTCGTCTTCATCACTTACCACCAAGACCTCGATAATCTGCCTTTCCTTCTTTCATTCCATTCGCAATGCGCTTCGCTATCATCATTCTTTCCACCCTCATTGTCGCTGTCTCTAGCGCTCCCATCGCTGTGCCGCGCGACGGCCCCTCCGAACAAAGTGTAGACTCGCCAACCTGGGTGCGTACGACACTTCTATAGACACATCCATGCACATGGATTACATCCAACTTGTTGCAGGCCACGCTCATGACCCTCTATAGTAAACGCTCTCTCGCGCAAGAGTCGAACGGCCACAACACGATATGTTCAACCGTCGTCACCGGGGTGGTGCGTTGCGATGGCGCGTTGTCGCTTTGGCATCACTGACCGTTTGACCAGGAGCGACGTGCACATAGCAAGAATCAAGGAGATCCAGCCGGCTCTTCTCCTTCTCTGCGTTCTAATCATAATCAAATCTTCTTAATATCCCGTTCGCCAACTTGAAATCAAGCTCAAAGCTAGCGCACTTCCCTTTAACATTAGAAACGAGTCTGCCCCGCGTGTTCTTCTTCTTGTTAGGCTATATTGCCAGTTCAATTTCGAACTAGATCAGACGCAGGTTAATCGTTATAGAGGTATCGGGCGAAGTAACGCTAGCTAATAAGGTTAAGCGAGGCGAAGGGAATCACACAAGTTACGTTAGACAGCGACACACAACTCAGGCTGCGAGCCGTGTCGATGAAGCGGGGGAATCTCTGTCTGCCATGTCCCCCGACAGGTCTACTTGGCGGGACTTGCTTTGAGGCCGTCTTCGTAGGGGTCCATCACTTAGCATTTGTATCAAACAATTTACGTACTATTCGACCAGGCGTTTATACGGCCATACAGTACGCTACATAGAGCAGAGGAAGATACATGTCCCTACATCGAATTTTGCCCGTCAGTATCGAAGAGAACCTCCACCCCACCCAGAATGGGGACAGAGAATGCGGGCTCGACCATTTGCATGATATCCACTTTCCACATTTTCTTCGCCGCCTTCGTAATGTACGCAGGACATTGAAATGTGACAACCTTCATAGCTGCACGCTTGCACAGCTTCACCAAGCGCTTTAGGCTTTTAGTGTCCAGGTCGTCCTTTGTTACGGTTAGGCGGATATCGCGCAGGTGCATGAGCATGTTATGGGTGTGAAGATATTTGATGATACACCCCATGTTCTCGCCCTCGATGTGTAGGACCTGCACCTCGGGAAGCCGTTGAAGCAGGAGACGACAGTGCATGTTGATGTTCTTCTTCTTGAGGGTTGCGACTCCTGAAATCGAGAGGTTAATGATGGAGCCTGGCAGCTTGTCCTCGGTTGGAACCCAGTCGTATCCTGTGAACCCAAAGTTTTCGGGGACGTGCAGGACGAGGGTGTGAAGAACAGGTAAATCAAGTATATTGAAAATTCCAGGAAGAGAGACTTCTTCATTGGTGTTGATCACCCTGAGGTGTGTTGCATGCGCCAGAGTCGTGCGACCGCCTCCGAAGTGCATAGTAGCGGGGCTAGAATGCTCTATAGTGATTTCCTGCACATTGGTCATAGCACAGATGAAATAGACATTACTGTCCACCGACGTGTAGTGGGTGATTTGTTCCCATGGTAAAATCGGCCCAAACCTGCTCGCCAAACGGTTGTGTTGCTCCAGCCGGCGCAACGCCGGGAGTTGGCAATGAAAACTTTCCCAGAATGCCGACTGATAGTCAAGAGATAGGTCGGTCAACAATGGAAATGGTTGCTCCGCAATGGTCGAAGATATTAGATGGGAAGTGCCCTGCATATAGAGGGTTTGCCATCGCTCCTTGTCAAGACCTGAAGTATCCCAGGAATGTTCCAGGTAGTGAATATACTGATAAGAGAGGATATGCACGCGTAAAGGTAATGGCGCGGACCACGAACTGATGAGGGCCAGTCTGTCGGCCCAGCTTGTGGGATGGCGGTTGCATTGGTCCAATAACGTCGCGGAATACTCGATCTGTACGGCTGACCACAGGTGTGGACAGGAGAGAGCCACGGCGCGCCAGTTACGACAGACCTGCGAAAGAGTCCAAGGTGGTTCCGAGGCGTCGGTGGAGGATTCAAGTGGCAGTGGCACCAGCTCGGAGGGAGTTTCAAAACACCAGGGCACACAGAATGCAAAAATTTCACGTAGAATATCGTCTGGTATGACACGCTGAGGATGTAGAGCGGATTGGATCCCATGAACTTTTCCCATTATCTTTGAGTGCCGTTCCTTCAACGCGGCTATTTCTTCCTCCAGCTGGGCGGCCTCGTTGGTCAGGCGCGGGAGCACGTCTTCCAGCTTCCTGCGCTCATCGGCCGAAGGGACTTCATTGCTGTTGAATAGTCGAGGTATCCATGGGAAGTCCGGCGGGTTCGATTTCAAAAAGGCATCCGTGGGTTCCGCCATCATGGTCGGTGATAGAGATCAATGTAACCACGTGGGGATGATCGGTGTGTTGTTCTCAACGTTCTGTGGGCCCACAACAGGCCGAAGACGAGTAAAGTTGCTCATGGACCTCTTCCGGCCCAATTTGTTCTATATCACCAATTATGTTTCGTCGAGCTCATAGTAAGCCCCATTAAGAACATTACAAGCTCGTCCACGAATGAGTAGCTCATGGCTTTACAGTCCATATCTCGCTACGCCGACATATCCGGCTACAATTCATATCATCACTCAAGCTAACATTTTGAAGCAATGAGAACGCGATTTAATCGCTTAGTGTGTACCGCCCGGACCCCGCCCAGCATGTATGAGTAATACTAATATTCTCGCTATGCCGCCATCCGCCACACCGATGGAGAGTATAAGATTCCGGGTTTTCCTTGCAAAAAAAAGCAACCTCTCGTTCCCTTCTAACCCGCTCAGCAATGTCTTCCGCTTTCAGCACTCCCCCGTTGCAAAAACAGACCGCGTTGGTTACTGGTGGTGGTACTGGGATGTAAGCTTCTCATTGATATTTCAGAAATCCCCTGAGTGTCTGATATTCATTTCCCAGTGGGTTGATGATTGCAGAAGGTCTTGCAAATGCAGGCGCAAAGGTGTATATCACCGGACGCAGACTGAATGTCCTGGAGAAGGCGATAGTTACGTCCAAAGTTACCGATGGTACTGGTAGCTTGGTCCCGTTCGTCCTTTCAGTACGATGAAAGTGTTTCCTGTGAAAAGCTAATCAATGCTCCTTTCAGACTGCAGATGGACGTTGGGAATGAGGAAGACATTGCGCGCGCTGTAGAAACCATTCTTCAGGCAGATGGCAAACTCGACGTTCTGGTGAACAAGTGCGTAATTTCACACGACTCGTTTCATACCTTTGAGACTAACTGTAGGCTACAGTGCTGGATTTGCAGGCTCCAAATCTGACCCAGATGGCTTCAGCGCGCGCAAGGCTGCTGCATATCCGGCAGATAGCATGGAGCCTGAAAACGTACAAGACTGGAAGGACATTTTTCATATCAACAGCATCATGCCATTCTTTGTTGTCCGCGCCTTTGTGCCGCTTCTCAAGGCAGGCGCTGAGGCTCGAGGGCCGCAAGCCTCAGCAAGCGTGATCAACATATCGAGCACAACCTCGACCATGGCTGTTGGCGCTGGGGTTTACGGAAGCGTACGTTGTTTGTGATGCATCCCGCCGCCCGCTAATACTAATGCATTTTACCACGATAGCTCGCATACACGGCAACCAAAGCCGCACTCGAGCAGATGTCGTTGGTCCTAGCGTTTCACTTTGCACAGAATAACACGCCCATCCGCGTCAATACGATTGCGCCTGGGATGTTCCCCTCCGAGATATCGGACCGCAACTTTGGGAAGGATGGGTTGGACGAGCTTGCAAAGAATGCTGCACGGGGGCACGTAAGCGCCGCGCCGGCAAAGCGTGGAGGAAGGTACGCATGTTTCCCCTCTCAACGTGTCGCCAATATCACATTCTCAAAACTTCGCAGAGCCGAGGAAATGGGCACAACGGCGGTATATCTGGCTTCCAATGCGTTCGTGAATGGTGTGGTACTCAAGGTAGATGGAGGGATGGCGATAGTGAACCCGTGAATGCAACCTCTCTACGAATGACCGTAGTAGTTCAATACAATTGTCCAATGATTCGTTGGAAATTCGGCCCCAAATGTGGTTATCCTTCTAGTTTTGTATGTGCATTACCAATGATGGACTGAATCTACACGTGGATGTTTTCTGCTCTCAACGGTGAATTCTCAGTTCTGATGTCTTTTGCTATACCGCGAAGTTAGTCGGGACAAAAGTCGTAGCTGCAACATCTGAATGTCAAAACAACGACGGTTATCCAGTTGCCCCCTGCAAGGCTCGAACTTGCGACCTCAGGATTTCTCAAGCGAATGCTCGATCACACTTTCGTATGAGACCTGCGCTCTAGCCAACTGAGCCAAGGAGGCGATATCAGTCGGCCCCTGCGCCACACCGTGGCAGCGGGCCCCTATTCACACTCAGACTGTCAGTGACAAATTGAAGAAAGGCTCTTTGGCCCGTCGTTTCAAGCTTTTGCATACCTTGCATCCGACGGGAGCGCGCGCGGCCATCTCTGCGTGACGCTGTTCAACTGATGTCCTTGTTGATAAGGTTTAAACTTCCACCAGAATGCGGGGGGAATGCAAGTCAAAGATCAAAGGGTATCATTTCGCAGGGCGGAGGAATGAACTTGTGAGTCAGGTGGTGATATATCGAGTGAGGGCACGAAAGCCTGTTGATTGAGTCAGAAACCCGAGCCACCAGGGGACAGTGGGCGGAAGCTGCGCGCTCCACGGGGGCCTTGGAGTGCTCGCACACCATGCGAAAAAACCGAATCGAACGACTTGTGCTGTGGAGCGGCAAAGAGAGGGCGGAAGGACCGAAAAAAAATCACAAAAAAGCAAGAAAAAGGAATTAGAGTCCGAAAGGAATGGCTGTTGGCTATTCACAGTACATCATATTTGGTTGTACAACAAACCAACGACACCACGAGATTGGATGGGCAGAGACGAAGCGTAAGTACGAGATAATGTATAGCACATCGACGGACGCGTGCGGGGGCGTAAGGTAGTCCGGCTGGTAGGGTAGGATGGTGTAGAGGCGATAAATAACGTGCTGATTGGGTATGGACGGGTGGTGATAATGCAAAAGGTCGGGAAAGGGCAGATGCAAGAACGTAAGAATTTTTGATGCAGAAAAACGAAGGGATGGACGGGGGGGTGATCAAGTGCCCCTCCGTGGGACGATTACACGCAGCATCTCTCCATCGAATTCTGCTCGAACAGAAACGAGGTCTGCGTCGTAGCCAAAGGAGATGCGGCGCTCAAAATGGCCGCCGCCGACCTCCCAAGAGTCTGCGACCACGTGAAGGATTCGGCGCTTCTTTGTTGCAAGTGTGATTGCATCGCGCTTGAAGCCTGGCAAACGCACATTGAGCCGATACTCTGTCGGGGTCGTCTCCACCTCGATCCATGCGTCGGCAGGCTGCGCTGCTGGTGGTAAGAACGAGGCGTGGGGCTCCGTAGCGTTGAGCGTCGCGGCGGGTGGTGGCTGTGCAGGCTGTAAGATTTGCGGTGGTTCTGGTGGAGGGTATGTTGACGACGCCGACGAGGCGTACGATGACGCCGTACTCGGTCTTTGCCGCGATATAGACGGTGGTCGGGGTATGGCTGTCGGTGGCAACGAATGCGGTCGTGGCGAGGTTGGAGACAGGCCATGCAAAAGGCCATGGGGAGCAGTTGCTGCTGCTGCTTGGGGTGGTGCAACTTCGCCGTCCTCCGGGATCGTGTTGGCGACCACTTGCGGTAAACTGTGATATGGAATTTGACTGGGCAGCGGCAACGACGCGCTGCTCATGCGATCGCCTGCCGTTGGTGTAGATGGCGCCGTGTTCGGCGATGGAGGTGGTTGGCTGTAGGGGCGGGAATAGGGCAAGATCGTCTGCGGTGTTGTGCTCGTTGATGGCTGTGGGTCGTTACAGGACGCCTGTTCCCAATCCTCGTCGTCGCTGCCTATTCTCTCTTTCCTTAGTCTGCTGCCCGTTCCCGCATCCTCCTTGCTCGGCAACGGCACCTCCCGCAAGCCGTCGACGCTCGCAGCGCGTTTGCTAAAGGAACCCATGCGTGGTGGATGCTTTGGCCTTGATTTCGTTAGCATATTGGTCGGCGACGGAGGCGGTGGCGACATGCTCGTCCGGCTGCAGGTCGTGAATATAAAAGGATGAAAGTGAGGGTAAGGGATAAAGATGTAGGCACGGCCAATTTGTCAACCAGTCACCATGACCATGATGTCATCACCTCTCTTGAACCTTCGCACGCCACCGCCGGGGCCCTCGCTACGGTTACTACCCCCGCCTGCTCGACTGGATGCCCCGCCCCCGGCCCTGCTACCCCGCCGCATTATCCAGCAGTGCGCTGCCATTTTCTCTCTTTTTCTTCCATTAATTTTGCGTGGCCACCGCGCCATCGTCCGAATGTCACGTCATTTTCGCTCCCAATCTTTGTTCAACCGACTGAATAGATCCGCCCTCTCATGGTCGGGAGCACGTTTCTCAGCGCCACCGTCACCGCCGCCACAGCGCGGCTGCCTTTCCCATCTACTCTTCGGATAGTGACAGATTGCAACGTCTAGATCGTCCAACCAGGGCCCGATTGTACTACTACAGTGACTCTTGTAAGTAACAGTTGAGCGACACCTTGTGTTGCACGCTGGTTGTAACCAGTGAACTGAATGTACTTGTCAAGCTTCAAGGCTGCTGCCGATGTATTGAAAGATAAGACGCGCGATTGGCCGCCTTCGGGTCCCAGAAACACAAGATACTTTCCAATGGATTCGAATTTAGTAGCCAGTACATTGACGCGCCTCAGTTTCGGCCAACCACCTGGAGAATGTTGCGTTTTGCGGAATCAGTGCGGAGGCCTGTACCCGTAGACAAAGGCCTAGTCCTCTTTGAAAAGGGTCTCACTCCCAAGGGATACTCGTCCAATATCGCACCGGTACTCCCTCACAGCGATACCCACACGAACCAGCGACCCTGGGTCCACTCAAGCGCCCTTCAATTATCGTTCATTATAATCTCGAGTGCACAAATACGATGATCCAGTGCCCTGGGAGCAGGAACAATCGACCCGCATGGACCGCGCGCAGGCCCGCGAGGACAGCGCCACACAAGACTGTGACGGACGTCAGGTGACCGCAGCGCGTCACGGCTTCATCCGAACCCTCACGCGCACACACGCGACATTCGCTCCGGACGACTGCAAGCACACTCTACAAATTCATTTACGTGATGGCGTCCTCTCTCTTCCGCCGCTACGCCGCAGGTGCTCTCGGGGGCGGCTGTGGGTCGACCGCACTTGCCTGGTCGTTGTGGGGGTCGTCGAATGCAGACAGCGGCGCAGCACCAGCAGGAACACCCACTAAAATCGTGCGCCCGCAGAACTCAAATGTCTTCGTGCGTGCTACGCGTTTCTACTACTAAACACGAGGGCTGACTGCAGTATTTGTAGTTCGACATCTCGATTGACTCGCGTCCTGCGGGGAGGATGGTGTTCCGGCTGTACGACGATGTTACGCCAAAGACGGCCCAGAACTTCAGGGAACTCGCGACAGGGCAGCATGGGTTTGGGTATGAGGGGTCAGGATTTCACCGTATTATTCCCAAGGTGCGTGTTTGGAGCTCTCTCATTACTGTTCATCCTCGAGCTCTTCATGCTGAAACTATCCATCTAGTTCATGCTCCAGGGTGGAGACTTTACACGACACAATGGGACAGGTGGAAAATCAATTTGGGGCGGCAAATTCGAAGGTGAGACCATGCTCTGTTTCTTTGGCTTTAGCCTTGTCGTCCCTCTCAAATCGATACGGTCTACATAATGAAGAACTCTAAATTCGAGAGCTGACAACTTCCCTGTAGATGAGAGCTTTGCAAAGAAACACACACGCCCCGGCCTGCTCTCTATGGCGAATGCAGGGAGAAATACAAATGGATCACAGGTGCGTCCGGCCTTACTATAAAGCCAACATTGAGCTAACATGGAATTAGTTCTTCATCACAACGGTTGAAACGCCATGGGTAAGTGTCTCCTCAATTCCCACTCTTGTTGCATGCATGCCTTCTCCCTCTGGCCATGCCTCTATCTGACAAGTATCTGACCATCTTGTAGCTTGATAACCGCCATGTTGTATTTGGTGAGGTCGTTTCAGGGATGGACGTTGTATACACGGTCGAGAAGACTGGTTCCCGGAGCGGGACACCCTCTAGCACGGTCAAGATTGAGAAGTCGGGCGTTGTGGATGACCTTGATTAGCATATTTGTTGAACCATGCAACCTGACGTCCAAGAACGGGTGTCTTCAAAATTCAATATGTCGTGCTTCTCGTTGTGCTGACAAGACCGCGGGTGTGTTCACACCTCGGCGACTGGGGATCTCCCTTGCGAAGGAAAAATTTGAATGGTTGTTCTTGAGTCAAACTGCGAGTCTATCGGTTGTACTGTGTGCAGGTCGCCGCTGGATGGGAGAAGGGCATCGGACGGGGAAGCTCCGAACCCACTCCCAACCATCAAATACAGTACGAGTTGCTTGTCCACAAACAAGCTCCCCGAAAAAGATGGTGTTGACTCGGCCGTTTTGATAGGGAGAACCAAGGTTGTCCTGTACAAAGACACGTATTTGGAACCAAGCGAGAGGGTAAGGATGAAATTTCAGTTGCGCTATAGCCTATAGCATCGTATGCATCGATTATACAAGTCCTGGGGATTGAGAGGTTCGTCTCGTCTGGTTGCTCAGTGGGCTTGCATGATGCCGCGGATACCACGTTTGTATTCAAGCGGATATGGGCGGTAGTACGAGTGACTATATTGCTGAGCAGCAGAGCGTGTGAGGAGAACTTTGTCGACGCGGTCCGGTCGTGCCGCCAGCTGGGCATGTGCTCTTCATCCACTGAGGCCTAACATGGACTTCAGGGTTTCCGTTGCATTCGGCAGTTGTCGAAAAGCGACGAAGCGCAGCACTCAGTATATTTCGACCTTGGAGGGCTGGTCTCACACTCAGACCAGATTTATTGTATTCATTTTGAGTATTTCTGATGTGCTAGCCCGTGATGAAAACGCGGGAATTGCTACCTTCAAGCAGTTCATGTGATGAATGCGAAAGCCCATTGTGTGACTCAGCAGCTGCGGGTGCGTACCTTTTCCGCATTATTTTCGCGACAATCATTTGCAAGTGGGGAAAATGCCGCTCCCGCCGCCAGGTCTCGATTATCCTTCATCTCTGTACAATGGAATCAATTACAGCGGATTTCACAACGCTGCGGAATCGCAATCGAAATCGAAATTGCTTGGTTATGTTTACCAAACCCTCTGATCTGCCGGGACATCCAAATTGAGCTGCCCATCACCGGCATAGAACTGTGGCGGAATGATGGC